AGCGCCTTGAGGGAGGGCGGCGTGCGATCACGCCCCCCGATCACCGACGAGGAGCTCGCCGCCTTCTGGCCGCGGCCGCGGCCCGCGCCTCAGGCGGCGCCCCCTGCGGCGGGCAGCAGCGCCGCACCCGCCGACGCCGCGGAGCCCGACGGCGGGGCCGCGGACGAGCCGACGAAGTGGGCGGGCGCGGCGGCGCTGGCGCTCCGCGCGCAGCGGTGCCGCGGAGACGCCGCCACCGCGGGGGCCTCGGAGCCTCTTGTGCCGGTGAAGCAGTCGTCGGCGCCGCGCGCCGCGTTCAGGTCCGGGGCCCAGTCGTACCACCCTGCCTCGGGTGGCTCGCCGGCGTAGGGCGCGGCGGGTCGCTTCCGCCTGGCGCCGCGCAGAACGGGGGGTGGCTGAGCGAGGCCGTCATCGTGGGAGCCCATGGAGGGCCCCAAGCAAACAGCATGCCCCAGGAGGGCCCCCGCGCTGCACCTGGCGCCACCCGCTGTGTGAGGCGCCGCCGCGTCGGGCTCTGACTTTTCCTCTCTGGGAGCAAGCGCTGGCTGGTCTCAGGGACAATGGCCCTTATGGCCCTTTTGCTTGCCATGAGCGGAGCCCGAGTGCAATAACGTGCACCACACCCGCTTCCGTGGGGAGGTGGAGGGGAGGAGTTGCGGAGAGAGGTTGTGCAGTGGGGAGAAGGGCGGGCGTTGAAGTCATGATATATGAACGAGGAGACCCCAGGACGGTCCCGCGCTGCACCCGACCTTGCGAGGTGCCGTCTCGCTGGACTCGGATTTGTTTTTACTGGAGGCCGGCACTGGCCAGTCTCAGTGCAAATGGCCGTCTTGCTTGCCATGAGCCGCTGTGGTGGGGAGGTTGAGGCAGAGAGTTACAGAGAGAGGTGTCGCAGCAGGAGAATGGCGGGCGTCGCGAACCCTCCTCCTCCTCCTCTCCCTCCTCCTCCTCCTCCTCCTCCTCCTCCTCCTCCTCCTCCTCCTCCTCCTCCTCTCTTTCCTCCTCCTCCTCCCCCTCCTCCTCCTCCTCCTCCTCCGCCTCCTCCTCCTCCTCCCCCTCCCCCTGCTCCTCCTCCTCCTCCTCCTCCTCCTCCTCCTCCTCTTCCTCCTCCTCCCTCCTTCTCCTTTTCCTCCTCCTCCTCCTCCCTCCTCCCTCCTCCTCCTCCTCCTCCGCCTCCTCCTCCTCCTCCTCCCCCTCCCCCTGCTCCTCCTCCTCCTCCTCCTCCTCCTCCTCCTCCTCCTCCTCCTCCTCCTCCTCCTCCTCCTCCTCCTCCTCCTCCTCCTCCTCTCCTGTCTCTCTCTCTGTGTCTCAATCTCTCTCTCTCTCTCTCCTATTCCTCCTCCTCCTGCTCCTCCCCTCCTCCTCCTCTCCTCCTCCTCCCACTCCCCCTCCCCCTGCTCCTCCTCCTCCTCCTCCTCCTCCTCCTCCTCCTCCTCCTCTCCTTTCTCTCTTTCCTCCTCCTCCTCCTCCTCCCCCTCTTCTTCTCTTCCTCCTCCTCCTCGTCCTCCTCCTCCTCCTCCTCCTCCTCCTTCTCCTCCTCCTCCCCCTCCTCCTCTTTCCTCCTTCTCCTCCTCCTCCGCCTCTACCTCCTCCTCCGCCTCTTCCTCCTCCTCCTCCTCCTCCTCATCCTCCTCCTTCCAAGTGGATCGGGCGCGGACTGATGGCGCTCCGCACCGCCTCGCACCTACGACTCCACAGGCCCGCACCGAGTGGACCGCCGCGCCCACGAGCAGCGCCTCGGAGGCTCCGTGAGGAGGGAAAGAAACACACAGACACAATTAATCTTCGACTCCCCAGAAAATATGGGAAGATATGGGAAGTGTGGGGGGGGGAGACAAAAACCCTGAAAATATAGGAAAAGATGGAGAATCGTTTTATTTGTGTGTATTTATTTGTGTGTCCCACGGCCCCTTCACTCCGATCAGCCCGAGGGGGGACCGGCTGGAGCAGCACGACGGCCCCGAACCAGAGGCACCGCGCGACCTCGCAGGCGGCGGCGTGCTCTCCAGGGGGCCCTGGCGACCCGCAGCACCCGGGCACCAACAGCGACTTACTCCAGATTTCGTAACAAAGGGAGGGGGGTCTCACTCCGGGGGGTGTCTCTTCCAGGCTATCTTGGAGGGCCTGGGGGGGTCTGGGGACGATGTTTTGGAGGGTTCTCCCACGGGGGAGGTCTGAAATGGCTTGTCTTGGAGGGTCCAGACCCCCTCCCTTTTATTACGAAATCTGGAGTACCAGCCTGGAACATATCCCTATCCCTATGCTGGGCATCTCCTCATCACGATGTCAATCTTAGGGATTCCCTTATTTTTTGAGGGCGAATCCCTAAGATTGTCATCGCCTACTGGCGGGTCAATCTTAGGGATAGGGATACGTTCGAGGCTAGTAAACAGGCGCTGCTCCCACAGGAGGGCAGCCGGAGCCGGCCCCGCCAGGCAGCCTCCTCGCGGCGGGCGGCGAGGCTCGTGCGCCCGACGGCCCCCCTGCGCCGCAGCGCCTGGCCTTACCAGCCTCGAACGTATCCCTATCCCTAAGATTGACACGCCAAAAGGCGATGACGATCTTAGGGATTCGCCGTCAAAAAATAAGGAAATCCCAAAGATTGGCATCGTGATGAGGAGGTGCCCAGCATAGGGATAGGGATATGTTCCAGGCTGGTAATGGACCAGCCGCTGCAAGGTCGGGGCTCAAGAGACGGGGGTCAATGCAAGCGGGGGTCAGCCAGGGAACCGGATCCTGCAGGATCCTGCGAAGACCGCCCATGGCTGACCCGGGTCAGCGAGCCGCTCGTGGCCGCGAGGCGGCCGCGCATCTTGGTTGACCGGGTTTGCGAAGGCCTGCGCTACAGTTTGTTTCTCCTGCTTTTCAGTTTTTTGGTGTCCTGATGACCTCGGTCTGGATTGACCTGGGTCAGACGATCCCCGACAAGGTCCAGCTGCCGTGCAGGCTGGCAGGTGCCGTGGTAAAAAAGCGCGCGCGGCCCTGGCCAGCATGATGAAGGTCTTCGCATCGCTCGGACGTGAGCATTTTTTCTCGGAGAGAACCATCGAGGACCATCCTGGACCAACGAGCAAGAAAAGCACGCAAGAAATCGAAACATGCACGGGAGATGGACGTCCGAGCGACGGCAAGAGGTGGTCCCGCGCGAGGAGGACTTCAGGGGCATCACCACAGTGATGCTGCGCGATCTGCCAGGCAGGTGCAAGATGGGCATGTTGGTTCACGCGCTGGATATTTCAGATGTCCGGGATACCTACGACTTCTGCTACGTCTCATACGATCTCGCTTCTGGCAACAGTAAGGGGCACGCGTTCGTAAATTTTCAGTCGCCAGCTATCGCGCGTTTTTCCCAGACCATTTCGACAATCGTGTTTTGCAGGTGACCGCCGCGCACATCCAGGGGTACGAGGCCAACATCACTATGGCAAGCAAGACCGTTGGCATTTGAAATCCAAACTTCCGCCGGCTCGTCTTCGCGAAGCGGACTCTGCCAGCTGCCTCACCAGCGTCCGAGCTCCCGGCGACGTCTTCGCGGAGAAGCGGCTCCAGTGGCTCCGCGGAGGGAGCCGCCCCGCAGGGGCCGCTTCCGAGGCCGCTGGGCAGGGTCTCAGTGTGCGTGGATGCCGGCCCCCAGGCGTTCGCAAGCGAGCGCATAGTCCACGTGTAGTTGCCTCCTGCTGGCTGGCCGGCAGCACGTTGGCCGGGCAACCCTTGCCGGCAGGCCGGCCGCGCACCGTGGCCGCCCTGCACCCCAGGCCCCCACCACACGGCGCCGCAGCAGCAGCACCGGTGCTCCTGAGCGGCCGCTCATCGTGCGGAAGCGGTCCGTGCCCGACGACTCCACGTACAACTCTGGGGACCCCCGGCACACATGTTTCCGTTTCAACTTGCATCCGACACCAGATTCTAGCCCTCCAGCTGCGATCGTTTTGGCCGTTCAATTACAGGCAAGCCATGGCGCAGCGGGTCCTCTTCGCCAGGTGGTGCGATTCCATGATGCGGGCGGCGTTTCGCGTCCCGGCGGTTGCCGAAACGAGTGCGCAAATCATTTTCAAGTGGTTGGCCAATTTTCTTGGTAGTCAAGCAAGGGTTCGATGGCCATCATGGATGCTTGTGCTTTAGTTGCGCGTCTCGTGAAGCATGTTGTGGGCATTTGTTCCCCATGTCCTACGTCGCGTATTGTTATTTGTGTCGTGTGCCCGCCTTCTGATTCCCCCCTCATCCCTCTTGTTCCATGCCACTGCGATCTCACCCCCCAATCTCCGACCTTGATGCGCGCCAAAAGCTGGTGGCGTCCGCGCGGCAATTGTATGCAAACGAAGAGATCACTTACCTCTCCGTGTCCAGGTACGGCCGACGTCTGCAGTCTCGCAAGCGAGTTTCTTGTCCCTGGGGCACAATGCTTGGGAATGTGTTTCTTGCGTAACGGTGGCGCTCGTCAGCGGTCCCTGCTTCAACCTCGCATGTGTTGCGATTTCTCCAGTTGCTCGGTCCTGGTGACGTCACGCAACCCCTGCGCTTGTTTAGATACATACCTATACGACCACCCTTCGGGTGATAAGGAGGTTCGGGGGGGGGAACCAACGTCTCACTCGATCGGTCTCACTATCGATCTCAGTATCGATCTCACTATCGGTCTCGCTCGATCGATCTCACTCGATCGATCTCACAAGCGATCTCACTCGATCTATCTCATTCGATCGATCTCACAATTGATCTCACAATTGATCTCACAATCGATCTCACAATCGATCACACAATCGATCTCGCACTCGGTTTCAATATCGATCTCACTATCGATATCACAATCGCTCTCACACAATCAACGTCATCATCATCATCATCATCATCATCCGTAGCCATTTTGGCTCAAGTTCGAAACGCGCGGCCTGGCGCTTCGAGCTTGGTCGCAGCTGAGGGCCTGGCTCGAGGGCGGCTGCCCTTCCAGGATCGCTCCGTTCGACCCTAGCATATACATTTCCAGTCTCACGCACCCGCGGATGGCGCATGAGGCTGCTCCCGAACGGGCTCGTACAATTCTGGCTTCGGTGACGGGCATCGACACCAAGCTCTCGTCGTTCCAGATCGAGATCACGGCAACCGTCACGGAGATGCGCTCGGACTACAGTCAATTGGCCGCGAGGATGGACGTACTCGAGGCAAGTATGGAGCAAGACCAATCGAGCGAGGACGTCATGGCCGACCTTTCTGCGGAGGCGGAGCGTCAGGTCAGGATGCAGAAGCTCGAGTCCATGGTCCAGAAGTTGGAGAGCCAGCTCAACGACACGCCTACCGACGGTGGGCCTCCTCCGCGGCGTCGTCGTGCACTCAGCCCCGCTTCGTCCCGTTCTACTGGCCTCTCATCATCAGAAGGTACCATGGGATCTTCGTCACAGGAGGGGGCCGCTCGCCTTGTACTACTAGGATTTCCACGGCCGCTCATGCAGGCCACACTTCGCCGCGCGGCAGAAGTGGTTCGTCACCGCTGCATGCCCCGTCATTCGCAGACCTCGGTGGTGATCAAAGCTTTCGACCTCAATAGGAAGGCGATCTTCGAGTTTAATTCAGCATCGGCAGCATCAGACTTTCTCAGCAACTTCCAGAATATTGAAGGCGAGCTTCAGTTCCCAGATCCTGAAGGCGGACAGTTCGTGCTCAAAGTCCGCAGAGACCTCAAGGTCAAAGATCGACGGCTGTTTCTTGCGATGGGCAAGCTCAGACAGAAGTTAGAGGCGCTGCTCAACGGCAGGTTCAAGGTTTGCTCGAACGGTCCCGGAGGCGACGTCTACATACTGCGCGGTGAGGAGGACCCCGTTCAGTGTGCCCATGCATCAGTACTCGAAGGTGTGAATGATGTCCAGGTTGACTTCGCTGACTCCACGCTGACGGAGTTTGGCATTCTGGCGGGCAAAGCCAGCCTGATGGATGCGGCGCAGGTCGCAATGAGGCGCCCCTTTTAAGTATGCACGCAGCGGCAATGGCAGAGCACCAAGGCACTCGCTTCCTGTTGGCTGTTGTTTCCCCCCCTCTCCCTCCTCCCCCCTTCCTCGACCGACACTACGGATGATACGTCTGACAGCTCGGACACGGATGACATAATGGATATTACGGATCTTCCCTTCTCTCCTCTTCGCCCCTTCTCGATGGTCACGTGGAATGCTGCCGCTCTTTTCGCCTCTGTCAGGTATGGAGGGGAGGTGGCGAGGGCTCGCTATCGTAAATTCTTGCAGTTGTGTGAACGGTATGACATTGTATGTAGACAGGAATGTCATGGGCATGAAAGGGGATATAGCATGCCTGACTCAGCAGTTGCGTGGGTGCCACATTGGTGCTACGATGTGTGCGACGACTGCTGCTGGTGGCACAGTTACCGTAATTAGTGCTGCGCTCGCGTCTCAGTTCTCTTCCATTCGGCATCGTCCTTTGCGTGAAGGGCGTGTGCTTCTTTCTCATTGTGTCGGTCCACATGGTGCGCTTTGTATCGTCAATGTACACATGCCTAACACGTGTCATGGTCACCAGCAGTATAAGCGAGTGCTCCACATTGTGTTGTGCGTTACCCTCGGCGACGGCTTGTTTCAACCTCATAGGTGGGGACTGGAATTTCGCGCTGGAGGAGGAAGGGAGGCAGTCGGATGACGGGCATTGGGAGGTTGGGGACAGATGGCACACCGCATATTTTGGCACGAAATGTGCACGATGGGCTGAACTCTACCAGCCTGATCCGACGCGATACGGTTGGGGCAACGACGGCAGTGCTCATACGGCCCGCCTTGACCGAATATACACTGATCTTCCGTGTGCCCTACTCACCGACCTCACCCTGCAGGCAAAAGTGCGTAGCAGACCGAAGCGGTACGAGCCGTCGGATCATCTTCCAGTTGCGGTCTCCTTTCAGGCCTTCAATCCCAGGGGGTCCTCGACGGCCCCAGCGCGGCTCAGCAAGACCCCCGTCTACAAAGATATCGTCTCGGAAGGCCTCCTTCAGATCCCCGCGGAGTGGAGCCCTCTTCGACGGCTTGAAGCTGCACAATCTGTTATGCACGACGCTGTTAAGGCTGCCAAGCGCGCGCTCGCACACAAACCTGCTCGCGCCCCTGAAGAACAGAATTTCTGGGCCATGCGTGCAGTGCGGGGGTGGCGCACAGGGAACTTTGACCTGGTACGTAGTGCGATCGGCGCGCCCCCGATGCTTCTGCAAATCTTTGACGTTGACCGTGAGGAGTGCACGGACTACGCTCGCCTCTGCGAATTTGCCAGGGAGTGCCATTTCACTGCGTTGGAGGCCCAACTTAACCAGGCGGTTGCAACGACGGCGGAGGGGGAGGAGGAGGAGGCTCGGCGGCTACAGGCCATCTCGCGTGCCCGGTTTAAGATGCAGATTTGGCGCAAGATGCGACGCCGTGTGCGACTCCCGGGCGTTCTTGCTGATGATGGCTCCCCTTGTGCGACGGTGGAGGAGTCTGGCAGCGCACTTGCTCGCTACTGGAAGGGTGCATTTGCTGCCAAGGAGGAGGATATGTCGGGGTGGGAGGAATTCCTGGGGCACTGCCAGTCGGTTCGGCCTCTGTGCGAGGTGACTCAGTGGAGGATCGAGCGGGGGGACTTTATCCGTGCCATCCGTGCAAAATCCAACGCGGCCCCTGGTCCTGATGGACTCCCCTACAGCTGTTGGCAGACTGACCCTGCCGCTAACTTGCTTTTCGATGTCTATGAGTACCTGTACGACACGAACAGCACAGATTTCCCTACTGACATGCAGCATGTTCCCCTCACCTTCCTACCCAAAGGCAATCAGGACTCCGACGCGGGCACAGCTGTTAGTCGTGGCACTAGCAAGACGCGGCCGTTGGCACTGGCGGACACATCGTGCAAGGCGCTGTCTGCTGCGATGGGCTTGCCGCTTGCCTCGGTTGCGAAGTCGACAGTTCATGTGATGCAGTCGGGAGGTGTCGGTGGGAGGAGTATTACATCTAACGTGGTGGAGGCTGAGGGATGGGGGCTATCTCAATGGCTTCATGATAAGCCGCACTCAGCACTCTTGCTCACCGACTTCGCGGCTGCGTCCCCATTCCTCTTCGTCAGCTGGATCCTCACTGTCCTTGGTACAATGTCCGTTCCTACTCCCATCATATGCTTCTTTGCAGCCCTATACACTGACAATATAGCGACGGTCACTCTTGCGGGGCGGCGCCTGCAGCGCATTAAGATTGAACGTGGTGTGCGGCAGGGGGACCCGACGAGCATGTGCCTCCTTGCTTTGGCCCTCGACCCGGTATTACGTTGGCTCCTGCATAAAAGGTAGCACACACATAGACAGGGGGCTGGGATATGCGGATGATCTGCTGTTTGGGATCTGTGATATCCGTGCTGGGCTGGTTCCTATTCTCGTGCTCTTGGGGTCCTTGGATAATGCGATTGGTCTTCGGCTTAACTACTCTAAGTGCCAACTGATTCTTGCAGGAGGGCAAGCGTGTGATGAGGTATCTGGCTGGCTTCAGGCTCATGGGGCGCCCTTTGAGTTCCTTCAAGTTGGGCGCCGCGCCCGCTACCTGGGGGTGGAAATCGGCCCCGACGGGGGAGCTCATGTCTGGAGGGAGGCCATCGACAAATTCCAACAGCGGGTTCGTGCCCCTCGGAACCTTGGGCTCGGTCTAGCGACGACCATTGTCATGTTTACGTCCACCTGCCTGCCTGTGCTTGGGCATCTATTGCAATTCTATTCCCCGACACAAGAGGTGCACCATGTGTACAATGCATCTCTTCAGTTGCTCGCCGCAGCCCCGCGTTATTCCTTCTCTTCTAAGATGCTCTGTGGTCTCAAGGAACTGGGGCTGACCGCGGAGTTCCCAGCACTGGGACCTTACGCTCGCGCGGCGCAGCTGCGTGCGGCTTTCACATGCCCTGCTTTTGCTCAGGTTCAGGCGCAGCTGGAAGCTGCCACCTCGACGGAGCGAATACGGAATGGGATGGAGGATGGGGTATGTATTGCGAGGGCACTGGATGGGTGGTGGAGGGATTCGTTTGTGCGACAGATGTACGTGGTGCGCAACGGATGCCAGCAGATCACTGAAGCGGTCCCGCACGATTTCCCTAAGAAGAAGCTCCAGCGTTGTTTTCTGAAGGCCCTCATCGCTCGGGACCCCGTGGACATTGCCGATTGTCCTGAAACTGGGCTCCTCCGCAGGATCTCCTCCTGGCTCCCTGCCCCCTTCCCTATTGAGGTTGCCCGCATGATTGGAAAAATCCGTTACACTACGAAACGTACGAAGATGTGTATTGGGTTGGCTCCGTCGCGGATCGCGTGCCGTGGTGCGTGTACTACTTCGCGTTTCCACACGACCTCTCGGGGTTGCATCTTTGGATGTGCATCTGTGGTCCCTGGGGCGGACCTAGATGACATGCAACACTACATTGTATGCCCGCGTCTACAGGATATTGCAAGGCACTGGCTGGGTGCGATAGTGGATTGCGCCGACACTATTCCGATCTCCTCCCTCCTCCTCCTTGCTGTGCACCCCTCAGTGGAAGCAGTGCTGTGCTGCGCGTCGTTTTGCGAAGCCTTTTTACACACTCACTCTCAGAAGAGGGCTGGCTGTGACGCCGCCCCTGAGAGACTCTTCGAGGCGCGAATCCGCATCCACTGCAGGCGCCACCGCGCTCTGCAGGCTGCCTGGACAAAGGTAACCGCCGCGAGGCTCGCTGTGTGGCAATCAGCTGGCTAGCGGGGGGAAAGAGGGAAGAAGAAAAAAGAAAAAAAAACATCATCAACATCATCAACATCATCAACTTCAACATCATCACCAACATCGTCATCATCATGAGGGCACCGTCATCATCATCATACTCATCATCATAAACATCATCATCAACGTCAGCATCACCATCGGGACATCATCATCATCACCATCATTTTCTCATCATCAACATCATCATCATCGGGACACAGTCATCGTCATCATCATTGGGGCACCATCATCATAATCATCATCAGAATCGGGACACCATCATGATCACCATCGTTCTCATCACCAACATTATCATCAACATCGTCATCATCCTCGGGACACCATCATCATGATCATCTTATCATCATCATCGACATCATCATCATCAACATCATCATCATTGGGGCACCATCATCATCATGAGCAACATAATCATCAACATCGCCATTATCATTATTATCATCATCGGGACACCATCATCATCACCATCATCATCATCACCATCATCATCGTCAGCATCATCATCGGGACACCATAATCATCATCAACATCATCATCAACATCATTATC